GGTCTCACATGTTCCAGGGGAAACAAAGATAGACAGCTGTATCCAGAAGGCTCTAAAATAAAGCATTATATTCATACCAAACAAGGATCAAAACACTCTACTTAACTACCTCCAAGGGCCACTTCTTGACAGAGGTTAATGATCTGAGGGTGTAATTTCATGTGAAAATCTACCTCCATTTAGGTGAGTAAAATCCAGCTGGATTTAGAAGAGGAGAAAGGGCAGATGGCACGGTATTCCCGATGTTCCCTCCTGCGTTAAGAGGACTGCACGTGCATCGAACCTCACAAAGCCGAGGCTGCGCCAGGTACGCCACAGGAAAACCCAGTGACTTTCAAGTTTGTTACCTGGCAAATTGAATATGTTGAAACGTGCTAGGATTCCACACAGAGTTAAGTTTCTGTATGGCAAGTTTGGGGTTTCTCTAAAGTATAGTACCTTACATTACAACATTGAAGGCCTCTGCTTTTCTCATGCTTTTAAATGCTGAAACTGCATTTTCTGTGTTCTGGTTCTGTCCTCCAGAGTAAGCCATTATGTCAGGTCCGTGCGATTCTAAGTAAACAACAATTGTACTAGTGCTTTTAAGGCATTTTTAAAATCAAGTGTTTCACTGGGCAGTCAAGGTACAATTGAAATGCATTTCATGACATTTGCAATTTTCTCCTTGACCATATTAGTGAAGGCAGACATGAAACGGGTCTCGGTGTGCTTTTTAACACCCCACGTTTACAGGCTCTCAGACTAAGATGGCCACATAAATCAAGTTCCAAAAATATTACTAATCTTTCTGGTGTATTCATGTTTGGACATGAATAACCTCCGTTCTCTGTTCCCACCCATACGCTTCCTCCTACCCACAGAATGTTTTATTTTAGTGGCAAGTTAAAATTAAACGTCTGTTACTGCAGCAGCCAGTAGGAAATACTTTGCCTGGGTTGCTGTCAGGAGAAATGATTACATAACGTGTATATTTTATGCCTCACATTAGTATTGTTCTGTTCATGATGGCGAAGGGTCACATGAAATGCTTACTTGAGACTCTGGGGATATAAGGGGCTGGCAGCGTGCTGCAGTATTACATAAGAGCAGAACCGCTCAGTTGCTCCAGTAAAGGCATATTAGATGTACCAAAGGCCTCACAGCTGTCATTTTGGTTTATCCATTATACCATATAGCATAAAGAATTACTCTGAAAGGGCCTAAAGCTGGAAGCTGACAAAATGCTTTGGTTCTGAGTGGAAGTTTCCAGCTTTGGCCACAAAGATTATAATACAGCTCAGTAAACATAGAAGAGTCAAGCTGAAAAAAGTTCAAAAATTAAGATCAAAATATTTATTACATGCGGAGATATATAAAAAGGGAAATAAAACATCACTTAGAAATATAATGAATATAGTATGTGAATACTAAGCTCTAAAAACATTCTCCCCACATTCTACATAAAACTTAGAGAACGCATCAGTTCTTTTACTGGATACTTGCGTGTTAAGGTAAGGGATTTCATTTGCCAACAAAGAATATCTCGAGGACTAACGATATAACAGCAGCATAGCATTTAAGTTTAAATATCAGATAAAACCTCTAGTACATACCTGGAGAGCAAATCTTCTGTATAAAAATGCAATGCATGAAAAAATTACAGAAAATCCAAGGTATTATATGGTGGTCCTGAGAATCACCCTAATCCTGAAGCTGGGATAGTACAGCCCATCAGCTTTGTTGTTGCTAGATTGCAGAAAGACTAACAAATATGGCCCGCTGTTGCCTTCAGCCCTGTTTTGGTACTCAGATACATGTCATTCCTGCAGCAGCGTTACTACACATTAATAATCAACATCTCAGAAACAAATTAATTGTGGAGGACACGCTACAGAAATCTCCAGTGTTTGTGGCATGGACACCCTCAGCAAGGGTTTCATTCTGCTTTAACTTCTGGGTGCAGGTTTTGTTTCT